GGAGTGCCTGATCTCCAACCAGGCAAATTGGGGACCAGTTGAGGCCCAAACCATCGCTCTCCTGCTGATTTAGGACCTGGGACGCTGAGGCGTGGCGTGGAAGTGATACTCGAGCTGCCTCGCTGTTTCAATACTGGGATTAATGATGTAACTCCTAAACCTTGAAATCCAAGACTGCAGGCAAATTCTGGATTGATTCGTTCAACAAATATGTACTGAGTCACTACCATGTGCCAGGCTCTGTCCTAAACTAATTAGATACATGAGCTTATTTAATCTTCACAACTTCCTTTGAGGTAGGTCGTCTTAATATCTCCCACCTCACAGACGCAAGAAACAAGGTAACCAGAAATCTCTCTGTACTGGAACCCCACCTAGTGGCAAAGTGACATAACTGCAAGACTACTCTCTCCCAGAATTCCAACTGGGAATCAGTCCTCTACTCAAACAGAAGTTTTCTGGAAGGAGGGAGTTCTGAGAAGGAGTTTCACAAGGAAGAGAGCACAGATTTGGGGATGAGATCGGGGACACTATTTTAATAGGGATAATTGCAGGGGCATGAATACATATACAGAGACTAACACTGTATTAAGGAAAACACACACAGATACCCATTAAGGACAGAGCAACCAAGTCAGGGAAAAAAAGAACAGGCTAATGAATGAACAATGATCATTAGTGGCTGAGAGGAGTGGATTGGCTCTACATGGGATTGCAGGCACCCTTGTGTCCCCACCAAGCATCGGGCTCTAGGCTAGACACCCAACATTGGTTGGTTCCCTTTGACCTCTCAACACCCCTGTTTTCTAGATGAGCAAACTTAGACTTGAGAGGGTTAAGTTCTTTCCTCCAAGGCCACAGCTGCTGAGTAGATGGCTTGAGATTGGAACCAGATGTGACTGATTTTAAAGGCCATGCCACTTCCCTGAGCAGGACAATGGCGTGAGAAAGATCCTTGGATTGTCTTGGGGAGAGACAGGACAGAGAAACCTAAGAGGACATTGCAGTGACCCAAACTTGGGTTAAGGTGGTGGCCCCAGAAATGAAAAAAGAAGGGGGTGGATCAGAGCAAATACTGTCAGTAAAGTCTTGGTGACATACTAGGCAAAGAGGAGAAAGGAAACGAAAATGACATCAAGCCTCTAAACCATGGCAGTCAGAAAGGTGGTGATCAAGGTGAGACTTGGGAGAAACCTGGGGGTCAGTGGGGAAAAGCCATAGGGTGACTTCAGTTCCAGATGCAGCAAAAGCCTATGGTGATGGTTTTAAACATGGGCCCAGAGCCCTGTAAGAGTTTAGGGGGCTTCCGATGGAGATTTGGGTCCCCAAATGTGTCTGATATGCTTCACTTCATGATATGTCACTGCTTTTCGGCTGCAGTGGATTCGGGCTGGCTACTTTCACCTATAATTGAAGGTGCAGGCTGTTCCAGAAACTTCCAGCATGTAGGATGGTGCCTGGAGATGCAGAGTGGAGGAGGGAGCGACTTGCTGTGAGACACTTGTCACTGATGGTGATGGAGGGGCTCAGGAAAGAGTAAATGTGACATTGCGGGGGCACGCGGCTTCGTGAGCAAGTACCATCCCAGCAGCAAGCATTTCTCGAGCCGAAGGGTGACTAACTGTGTAGTGGGCTGACTTCTGGCTGTTTTCTATGGAATAATGACTAAGTTGAAGTTGTTGTTAAACTGTTGTTTTGAGTGTACAACTTCCTTTGAGTGTGCTGCCAAAATTCTAGTATTCAAACGTGTGACCAAAGCATAAGATAAAGTTGAGTAGCCCTGGCACATGGTTGTCACGGAAAGCAGGAGCTCCCTGGAGAGAAGAGCTGGTTGGGATTGAGCTTTGAGGATGGCCGATGGAAAGCCAGACCTCCTGCCCCTTAAGGTTTCTATTGGAAGGTCAGCACTCAAAACCTCTGATTGAATGTCAGGGAACTTGCCACCGGCTTCAAGCCATGAGGTCTTCGAGAGGCAAAGGTCTAACCCCCTGGTCTAACGACTACGCATCCTAAAGCAGTGGTTAACCAAGAAAAATGGTAAAACACATGTTCTTTCTTGACTTCCCTGGTCATCATAGAACTGAAAGAATCAAAACTGCCCAAAACAACAACAACAAAATCTTTAATAGCCCGAGAAAGTGTGAGAGGGCCTCAAGGAGCCCCCCAAGAAGTCAGTCTGCATCTCAGCCCTTCAGTGCCTTGCCATCGATGTCCAGCAACTCCTTCACATCTTATAGTGACAGCAACACAAACCCTTCCTTTCCTAAACAACATCCCGAGATGAATTCTACTTACATCAAACCGAACACGTCCACCGAGGAATCGGGCTGTTTATAGCAGTTCTCACATGTTGGAGCAAAGAAAAGACTGGGTGGTTCTTTCAAGGAAATTTAGTGCTTTTCTCCATGATTAAGGAGGCCCACAAGGCCCAACACGAACTGACTCTTGCCCTGGTGGGGAGAAAAGGTCTCCCCCCATCTTTTCTCCCCTCCAGCCCTCTGGTCCAGCACCACATGAACTGTCCTCTGCTCCCTCCACCTCCCCATCACCCCACTCTCTCTGAAACTGCGCAGGAGCTCACCTTTGCTCTCTCTCCAAACCGGTCCTCACCACCTCCCAACATCACTCCGTCCTGCCCTGCATGAACTAACTTCAGCCCCTTTACTTCCCTTGGCCTCCCACTCCCCAGTATCTCTCTGGCCTCTCTATCCCAAGCCCGCCCACTCCTGCTGCATTTCTCTGGTTGGCCTGTCCACAAGGGCTGGCCCCTGCTACCTCTCTCCCCTGCCCATACCCCTGCAGCTCTAAAGACCACCTTCCCTCATGTGGACTGACCTACCTTGTCTCCCCCTCCCTAGAACTTACACAGCCACCCCCCTACAGCTCTCTGGGCCAACCTCACAGGAACTGCCAACGTTTCCCCCTCCCCACAACTCTACGGTCCAACACCGCATGAGCAGGGCTCAAACTCACCCCCCTCCCCACACTCCCACGAAACTGCTGCGTCCTCACATGAACAGATTTCCAAGATCCCTGCTCCCTCCCACTCCCTTACACCCCTCTGGGACACCCCACAGGCACCCACCCTCTGCCGCTCCTTTACATTTCTTGGTCCAACTCCACTAACGCGTGCTCCCTCAGCTATGGTGAGCACCTTCTGCTTGTTTATATTCTTGGCGGGAACGTGTTACTTGTCACTTTCAATCTTCCCTCAAAAGATTCCTGAGAGACTGTCGCTTTGGCGAACATTAAACAGGAGAAAATTCAGAACGTTTCCAGGGTAGTTAATGAGATTGATTTAGCCATATTTCAAAATATCATGTCATACACCATAAACATATACAATTGTGTCCATTCTAAACATTATTTTTTAAGAGAGGAATGTTTGGGATACGGTTAACAGTCAAATGAGAAACAGGGTCCCGTTGTTTGTTTGTTTGTTTGTTTGAGTCAGGATCTCTTGCCCAGGCTGAAGTGCAACGGCTTGATCATGGCTCACCACAGCTTCAACCTCCAGGGCTTAGGGAACCTTTCTGTCGCAACTTCCCAAGTAGCTGGGACTACAGGCACACACCACCACGCCCAGTTTTTTTTTTTTTTAATTTTTTTGTCGAGACAAGGTCTTACTATGTTGCCCAGGCTGGTCTTGAACTTCTGGCCTCAAATAATTCTCCGAACTCAGCCTCACAAAATGCTAGGATTACAAGCGTGAGCCACCACACCCAGCCTCTATTAGAAAATAGAAATATCACTAGAAATAGAAATGCCATTCGAAAATAGCAATGCTACAGAAAATCCTCCCAGGAAGTGCTGTCAACTGACTGTGGGAACAGTCATTATAGCAGCTTCATGGACCCACATTTAATAACAGAGCTTATGTGAGAACCGCAACCAAGGAATGAGAGTGAGACTGAACTTCACATCCCCTTTGTCCTTGAGCCCCTTAAAGCCAAGTCTTTTATGGAAGATGTTATTCAAACCCCAGTGATTCTGAGCGAGCACAGCTCTGCTTCCCATTGCGCAGACAAGAAACTCCAGACACCTAGAAAAGTAGCTTGCCTCAGATTGCCTGGCCAGGAAGTTGCGGAGTGCGTGTGGGAACCCAGGGTTAGGGCTAGTCTGGACCCCGTTCCCCAAGTGTTTCTCAATCAGCTGTCCCTCTGCATGAGACTCATGTGGGGGACATGGTAAAGTTCATATTCCTGGGCCCAAGTCCTCCAGGTTGCCAGGGCCAGGGATGAGGCCAGGGATGAGGTCAATTCCCAGGTAGAGTTGACAGTTAAAATACAGGATGCCCGGGCACATTTCAGATCAACAATAAACAAACAACAAAAAGACCAAATGAGATATCTTTCTACTCAAGCCCCAATCTGTCATTGATCTCAAGTCCAATTTACCTAGGTTTTCTCCTTGGATTAACTACAGCAGACAGCCTTATCCTCAGTGAACAAGGAGGCCCCCAGCAGTTTGGAAATCCATTCTCTCCCTCTCCACGTGTGCACAAATGAGCATTTCATCATCATTCATTTTCCATCTCCCCTCACCCCAGAGCAGAGAAACAGACACTTTAATGCCGTTAACCGGGACTTCTCCTGCAGGTAATCCCAAGCAAGGCCAACCCAAGAGCCTATGAAACATCATAAGCACATAGACTCACCAGAAGGTGGCTGAATCCATCCTACTGTTCAAACAGTCTGGCTCTCCCCATTTTATTCAGGCAAGAATTGCCAACAAGACATTTTTGGCCTTGTGCTTTCCAAAAACTGTTGTTAAGGTATCATCGATTTAGGTTTAGGTGATATGGAAATTTTACTAGTTTTGCAAACCCATAGGTTCCCAAGCCAAAAAACACTTCATGCCAGGAAAGTAGTCGAGGATTATTTCACTTTGGGTCCATAGGTTGGTAAACAGCTTTGTGTGTAACAGGCTGCCTTCAATACAGTGGTTGCAAAGGTGAACTCATGGTCAAGGTCAAAGAACTCAGCCTTAGAGAACAAAAGCTCAAACTAAGAAAGGTTTTATTTTTAAGACAACAGAAACAGCATTAACACACACACACAAAGGCCAGTGCAAGAGTTCGCCAGGTTTTATAAAAGAGAAAACTGCACTCAGGTGTCAACTAAAAACTGGAACCACTTAAGAATGACCACTGCTTGTGGTGACATGGCTACCACATGTGCCTGTCTAGGTTTTGCAGACATGTGGAAATGCATGGCAAGGATAAAGCGATGCAAGGCAACGTGGCAGGGGAGCCAAAGCTTTCAGACCCTTTCACCACTCTCATGTGCTCTTGTTCTGCTTTTGAGATTTAAAATAATTAGCAGGTCATTGTATAAAGAACTTTAATATCAAAGAACACTTCCAAAAGTCTAAAATAGGTTCAAGGTCACTACTCAAGTTGACAGGGAGGTCAGTGGGGGACAAACAGTTTGTGTTCTCAAAAGCCAGTTTTCACACAATGGCAGGCACTAAACCTAGTTGCGTGTGCTTGCGGTAGAAAAGAAGACACAGAGCTTAATAAAGGCTGGTCTTTTTCATGATGCGCAGGAACTCTTGCTCGTTGACTTCTCCATCTCCATCTCGATCTGCTTCATCAATCATTTCCTGCACGACAATAAGGATTCAGGTTAGCAAAATTCATAAACCAAACTGAAAGGCAATTAGCAATAGACTTTTAGTAATGCTCTGTGAATAGATAAGTGTAGCCCCTCCAATGCCAAGGTGCTACATTTTATGATGGATTGATTTCTGAAGAGCCATTTGAAGACTAAGTCATATGTTATCATACACATCACCTGGAAGGGAGCTTGAAGAGAGGGGTCCCTAAAACCTGAAACAGTAAGTAGAATTGGACATAAGTGCACTTTTCTGGAAGCAGGGTTCATAGGTTTGCCAGACTATCAAAGAATTAACTTGCCAGCAGAGAAACAAGGGTACACAGGCATTCCTTCAAAGAGGTGCTGGCACCAGAGAAAATATGACTCAGAAAGGTCACAGAAGACGCCAAGGTGGGAACCCCAGTTCTGGCCTGACACATTACATACCTGCAGCTCCTCATCAGTCAGGTTCTCACCCAACTCCTTGGCCACACGCTTTAGATTTTTGAATGATATCTTCCCAGTTTCGTCATCATCAAAGAGCTTGAAAGCTTTCAGGATTTCTTCTTTGGTATCTTTCTCAGACTTACCAAGTAGAACACAAAACATGTAAGTAGGGAGACGCCGTGGTTACTCATGTCTCATAGCCCTGCCACTGCCCATCACCCTCTCCTTTTCAACACCTTCACTGAGTCTCGACTGGCATCAAGTGTTAGGAAGCCCATTTGGCCTCACCAGACAAGCGATTTGCTCCCTATCTATCGCCCTATCCCACATCTATTTCATAACTGGCTAAGAATTCAGTGGGAAGAGTTGGCCACTTGGTGCACAAGCCAAGAAGTCTTGAAAAGTAAACACAGCACTTGTTCTGAGGGACCAAAGCAGCATGAGAGGACGGCTATGGTAAGCCATGATCATGCCACTGCAATCTAGCCTAGGTGACAGAGTGAGACTCTGTCTCAAAAAAAAAAAAAAAACCCTCTAACATCTAGGTGAGAGGTGATGGCATCCTGGCCCAGAGGGTAGCAATGGAAGGGGTGAGAAGTTCCTGGACTGGGGATCTATTTTCAGAGTGGAGTCAACAAGACTTGCTGATGGATGGAATAGAGGGGAGGAGAAAGGCAACAGGGATAAGTCTAAGGCTTTTGGTTGATGCAGCTGGAAAGCCAGAGTGGGTCATGTGCGGAGATGGAGGCGGCTTTTGCAGAACGTTTGCTGTGGTTGCATGGTAAGGGCTTGCAGCAGGAACCCAGGAGCTCACTTTTGGGCAGGACAAGTTTGGGATGTCTGCTAGCTATCCAAATAGGGATGGCCAAGGAGGAACTTGTGGGGGACCTGACTTCTTGGATTCAACCCCTAACCCCTTCATCCTGCCACCACATCACCACGTGGTCTCAGTAATGGCCTTCATGACACAGGTCCTAGGTCACAAAAGATCAAATATCATTCAGAGTCAAAAAAGAGAGCAAACTCGACATTTTTACAAACCTAGAGATTAAAAAGGAAATATAAAAGTCTGTGCTTAAAAAATTCTGTCTGTACAAACCAAAGAGAAACTGCATTTGCTTTTAAAATGTAGGAACAGTGGGTAGAGTTGAAATTGGGGTAAATATACTGCTTAAGCTGGCAGAAGAGGGATCTCCTTGGTGGGGAGACTAGCCGGGAGGAGAGGGCTATTTTACTTATTAGATCACAGACTTACTGGGGCCCCAAGTGCTCTAATAGAGGAAGAAAATAGAATCTCCAGGAGCTCAGCTATTCCTGAAAGGTACCTACCAGTAGCTACAGAGAGCACTCCCCTAATAAGAGCAATCTGGGAACCAGCCTCAAATGCAAGAGAGTTAGTTTTACTAGGTGGTTATAGAATGCTGAGCCTCCAGATCCCTTACATCGGTCCACAGAGAAAATTGAAAGTATACTCAGATGGTTCAAAGCAACAGAATTGTTAGAGGAGGGACAGAGGTATAGCCTGTGCTCTGGGAAACATACCTTGGACAATGATGGAGTTACTTTTCTATGGGCAAGTAGAGGGAAGATGAGCCATGCTAAGAAGGAGCCAGGGGGCCAAGGAAAGAGCAAGGCCTTATCAGCTATGAGCCAGTGGGAACAGACCTCCTAGCAGGTAAGAGCTTATGTTCTCTTGGCCCTTTCAAAGTGTGACATCTCAGAGACTAGGAAATGGAGGAACTCAAGTTTGGGGTACTGAAAAACCATATCCCTGTTGCAGCAAAAAGTGATGTACAGCTGCTAAAGTAACCACCCCTCAGGCTGAGGCTGCCCTGAACCAACATTTGGAGAGAAGAATTTCGAACTTAAGAGTATATGAATTTTGTATTATCCAAATGAAAGATGTTGACAAATTACTGGTGTTTATAGGTTTTACTGCTTATGGTTATCACATTGCTGTATCAGTCGGAGAAAGATGATAGCCAAAAGGTGACAGCAGGACTTTCACTGCTTTACAAAGGGTAAAGTGACTTCTATAACTTTGTGACTTTGAGGAAAACCAAATAGAACTTGGGCATCTTAATTCTCAGCCATAAAGACTATCCTTTACCAGGTGAACTCTCCAGTTTTCATTAACTTTTCTTTAATGAAGCCATTTTCATATCTAGATTCAATTTCCATCATGGGTGTAAAATAGCTGACTGTCTCAGCTAACTTACCATTTTCTGAGTCATCACAGTCAAAAAATCACTAAAGTTCATTTTTCCTGTCCCTTCTTTATCAATCTCGCTTATCATCTTCTTGATCTCTTCTTTCTTGGGTTCAAAGCCCAGGGCCCTCATTGCCACCTATAATGAAAGCAAGATTGTCTGAACAGGAGCATTTCAGCCTTACAGGAGCCTAAATAACAAGTGTTGAGAGCATTAAGCCAGTATCTGATACAATAATGTTGTAATAATTGGGAAACACCATAAGACTGATATAGTTGATATCTGCAAACAATTCTACTTAATAACACTTGAAACAAGACAGGAAAACAGGGCACATGTACAACCTTGTTATTTTTTGCAGGGAGAAGAGGGCAAAAGGGGTAGAGATGTGACAGAGAGAAGACAAGAGGCAGAAGCAAGGCACGGCAGAATAGCAAGAATATGTAGCACTTGCCTTAAGTTCTTTAACATCTATGGTACCAGTTCCATCAGCATCAAAGAGATCAAACGCTTCCCGAATTTCCTGCTTCTGCTCTTCGGTAAGCTCAGGCTTGGGACTCATCCTTTTTCGCTGGGCACTTGATGCCATGTTTCCCTTCTTAAAGTTGGAGGCCTTTACACATTATACAAACACACAAGCACAATATTATGTAATACAGTCCATAATTTACATAAGATAGTCATAGGCGCCCATATATATTTTTAAGGTAGTTTATACCAACCAATTCCAGAGTTTTACTTAATAAGAGAGATAACAGGGTTTATTGGCAAGAACGATGAATCTTTCCATGAAGCTCTATTCCTCCCGCTCCCCCCCCCTTTTAACTATTGTTTTTAAAAGCAAGGAGATTACTTGTCTTTTTGAATACCTCTTATTGATAATCATCCTGAAAGAGTGATAGTCAAGGAACTGACTGTGGATAACTAGAGATAATCAGCTCTCCCTGAATGCAGGGATCCTGGTTCTGTAAATGGCCTTACAGTGCCCACCGGCAGTAACCTGCTTTCCAATAAGTAGTCTGACTTTCCAATTACTTCTAAATTTGGTCAAACCTTAGTAAGTTGTTAAGTTGTATATTATGGGAGTATCAAGTAATAAAACTGAATCCATTTGGCACCTCTGTGCCATCTCCAAGAAGCCCAAAGCATCTTCTGAATGCCTCTATATTTAAATTGCAAAATATATATTAACAATCACAACACAATAAACCTCCTCCCAGTTCTTTGCGGAACCTTTGGCAGAGCGAGGTGGCCAGGAGGCCAGGGTCTGGGGAATTCAAGTCTTCTTTGCCCAGGGAGGGTCACCAAGGGGTCCGGAGAAGGCCAGGAGAGCCAGGGGAGGGGTCGGAGGCGGGGGGGAGGGGTTAGGGCCGGCTGTGGCTGCAGGGGAGGCAGGAGCAAAGCGCAGGCCCAGTAAGGCGGCTGGTGTCTCTATCCTACCGTTTCAGGAAAGAGCTCAAAGGAAGGATGGGAGCGCCGAAGTCGAAAAAGGCGCAGAAGATGTGGTGTGACCGAGCCGAGGCCTAGGAAGGGCTCAGCCTCTGGAAGCGGGACACGACCGAGCGGCCAGCACTCACCATAGCCGATAGACTCCGCTGTCAGTTGTTACGGCAACCGACTAACACAACGGCAGAACGCCGTTCCCATCACCCCGCGCGCGCGACCCCGCTCCCCATTGGCCACTCACTCGCCGCCGCAGCTTCCCATTGGTCCAGGGCTGGAGTGGGTGGGGCTAACCTGGCAAAGCCCGGCCCAGGGCGAGGGGCGAAGCACTACCAAAAGAGACCTAGCCTCATAGGGCAGGATCACACCGTGAGCGCCGATTGGCTGAGCTGGCGCCGAGCCGGGCCAATCGTCTTGGTGGAGGAAGCTCAGCCGATTCTCGGCTCACGTGGGCGGGGAGAAAAGGGTGGCGGTCTGGAGCTGGAGTCCGGTGGGTGCAGCCTGCCTCTGAGCTGAGGCGGGCCACGGGATCGCCTGCAGACTGGTAAGGGTCGCGGTCTTGCCTTTGGAGGCCGCCTTGTGCCGGCGACGGGGCAGAGCGAGAGGGCGAGAGGCTGAGCGCAGTGGCCCGGGTTAGGCGCTTTCGGAGCTGGCCCAAGGCTGAATTAGGGACAGAGTGTATCCCAAGGGACAGAGAAGCCCGTGACCTTGGTGTTGGAGCAGGGATTGTTCTCACGAGGCAGCTGAGACCCTGGGAGGGAAGGGAAGGGGCGTGCTGAGCGTTATCGTAGAGGCTGGACCACTGGGACTTAGAAACCTAACACAGCCGAGGCTCTTTCTTTGGAGGTTCCCCTTTGAGAACACCCCCAGCCTGAGCCACATAAATAGACCCCAGACCGGGTTCTAAGAGAAGATCACTTTAATTCTCACTTGGCTAAAAGCCAAGGACGCGATGAGCTGGGGGCTTTGGGAACAGACTTTGAAACAAGCGAAGGGGATGTGATTGAGCTTGAGGGTGGGGAGAGGTAATCAGAATATACTCTTTTTGACACCGAAACACTCCAGACATATAGAGAGGAGCATTCCAGGCCGAGACGCCCTCTTGAACAAAGTCACAGGAGTTTTGCAAGTGAGAAGTACACTTGGGGAATTAAAAGGGAGCGTGTGCAAGGCTGTGGACTGAGAGGGAGCTGCAGAAATAGGTTCAAGGTTCACCTGCTTCCCCTCCAGGCACTGGGGCAGTAATTTAGGGAGGCAGAGGGCAGCATATGATTTCTCAGGCTGGGAAAGGCCCGCGACTTGTGAACACCTCTTAAATGAAGCTTCTGCCCTTTGTCCTCTTTCCCTTGGAGCGGGGAACCTGATTCAAAACCGCTCGGTCAAATTTGACTCCTTCTTCACCTATCTCCTCCCCCATATCCAGCCTCCAGGTTCTATCAGTTTTGCCCCTTAAATGCCGTTTCTTTTTTTCTCTTTCCCTTCTGCTGCTTCTCTCTCAATTCAGGCCTTCATCATCAGCCTTCCGACTAGTACAAGCCAGAGTTCTCACCCTGGTCTGCAAAGCCTGGCATGACGTGTTCCCTCCACAGCTGCTCTCCTCTCCCCTGGCTTTCTCCAGCCTGGGACACACCAGGCACACGCCTGCCTTGAACTTTCGCCCCACCTGTCCCCTCTGCCTGCTGGGCCTACAGCTTTCCTCTCCCAGGTGTTTGCTCAGTGATTACCTTCTTGGTGAGGCCACCCTAAGCACCCTGTTGAGGTGCTGCAGCTCCTCACGCCCCTCTGCTTTTTGTTTTCTGTAACCTCACCTACTGTATGTTTGCTGACTTACTTTATTCTTTGTTGCCCTTCCACTAGAAGTCAGGCTCTCTGAGGGCAGGCCTCTTGGTTTTGTCCATTCCTGGTGCTCCAGAGTGAACAAAACCAAGATGCCTGCCCTCGGAGAGCCTGACTTCTAGTTAATCTTCCTGGTGAACAGCTCTAGTCAGGTCAGCCCCCTGCCCTTTTCAGAGGCTTCCCATGGCTACAGGGTCAAGTTCACCTCCTTAGCCTGGCCTCTGAGCCTCCTACCCAGTTTTACCCCTATTAACCTTTCTAGCTTCATGTCCCTCCACACCTTACTTCCCAGTCATTCAGTCAGCAGGGTGGCAGCTAACCAGAGTAGGAGGGACAGCACAAGTTCCTTGTGACCTTACACCTGTTACTGGACCTCTCAGCATCAGTTTCTCATTTGTTGAGCGAGACCAGTACTGTCTACCTGACTGGATGCCTTCGGATCTGTGTGGGATAATGTCCTCATATGTAAGGGGGCCTGATGGTAAGCAGGTCTTCAGGCAATATTCCAGGCGACTCTTGAAGAACACAGGTTGCAACTGCACAGGTCTGCTTCTATGTGGATTTTCTTCCTCCTCTGTCACCCCTGAGATATCAAGACCAATCCCTCCTGTCCCTCTTCCTCCTGAGCCTACTTATTATGGAGGCAAGGATGAAGACCTTTATGATGATCTACTTACACTTAATAAATAGTATGTATATTTTTTTCTGATGATTTTCTTTCTTTTTTTTTTGAATCAGCATCTCACTCTGTCGCCCATGTTAGAGGGCAGTGCCACAATCACAGCTCACCACAGTCTCCATCTCCTGGACTCAGGAGATCCTTCCACTTCAGCCTCCCAAGTAGCTGGGGCCACAGGTATGTGCCACCATGCCTGGCTAATTTTTGATTTTTTTGTAGAGATGAGGTCTTGCTACATTGCCCAGGCTGATCTCAAACTCCTGGGCTCAAGCAATCCTCTCGTCTCGCCCTCCCACATGCTAGGTTTATAGGCATGAGCCACCATGCCCAGCTATGATTTTCTTAATAACATTTTTTTCCTATAGCTTACGTCATTGTGAGAATATAGTATATAACACATCTGATGTACAAAACGTGTTAATTAACTGTTTACATTGATTATGGTTAACAGTAGGCTATGAATAGCTAAGTATGGGGAAAGTCAGTAGTTATACATGGATTTTTGACTGTGTGGGAGGTCAGTGTCCCTCACCCCCACCTTGTTCAGGGATCAACTGTAATTCTTTTCTCTGATTTGTTCTGGTCATTTCCCCTACCTGTCTTGCCTGGAGCCTGGGACTCGGCTAAAATCTCTTCCCCACAGCCCATTATCCCCAGGGTAACACCTTCATCTGCATGTTCTCAACTTTGCTCCCAGTCTTACTTCACACTCGCTGTGACACAACTTGTCACAGTTACCAAAACGTGCTGGCTCTGTGTCATCACCTTGTCCTTCCCACCTCTGGCCATGGAATGTCAAGACACCCACACCCTCTGTTTGATTCCTTTAAAACTAGGCTTAGGGGTCACCTCCTCCAGGCATGCTCCCTGAGCCAGCAGCCTGCACTGGTGCTCGGGGCTTACCATCACTGGAGCACAAACACACCTCGGGGATTCCTTGTTCACTCTGTCTCCCACCTTAGACAGTGAGCTCCTTGCAGGGCGGCACTCTGTCCCAGTCAGCTTCTGCCTGGGAGTGGCCAGCATTTGGTGACTTGGGAATGGATGAATGAGGTGACACCTGGCTTGCTTGAGCCTCACAGAGGCTGTAAGAGAGGCAGGAATGATGGCTGTTTTACAGCTGAGGCCACTTAGCCGGCAGCAACAGGGCCATTCACCAAATAGTCATTCAAACCCATGCTCCATCCCAGGCTCTCTGCTGGGCCTCCAGGGACTCCCGGCCTAGTGGGTCAAGACAGGCATGAACATGTTAGGATGGGAGCACAAGCAGGTGCTGAGGTTGCAGCATGCCTTTCCTGGGGTAGAGGACCTCACCATGGAGAGGAGAGGGAAGGTATTCCAGGCAGAAGGAACAGCATAAGCTAAGCTTGCAGCCATGCTGATGGCTTTCTGAGTGGCCCACCACCTAGTCCCAGCCTGGGACTTTCTTTGTTCTAAAAGGAAGTAGATAGGCAGAGAGACAAACGAGGAACAGAAACATGTGAGCTGGGCTGCCCCAGCATAATAAGGGCTAAAGTAACCTCCAAAGAGAAACGACCTCCTGACCATTGGCCTCTCCTATCCTGATCCGTGTGTTTCCTTCGCCATATCCTGTCTTGGAGTTCTGAAAGGGAAGCCTTCCTCTTGCTCATGCAGGTCCCCTACCTCGAAGTCTTTGCTCAGAAAAATGTCCAGAATGAAAGTACGTGCTGGCCTCGGGTGAATCCACCTCTCCATCCCATCATCAGACCCAGACTTGCAGGTCTGTCCCCACATCTAAACTCCAAAACAAGGTCTGAGAGGCATCATTTGACTTTCCTTGGCTAGCCAGGGTCTACTGACTGAGCTGTTGAGGGGAGTACACTTTTCCCAGCACAGCCTGGCATTGTCAGCCCGTGGACTAAAGTGACAAGCTCTTAGTGGGCACATCCTAGCTTCCTACACTGGGCCCCTAGAAGGTGGACTCTGACAATCTTTCCCCTTTGCAAAGAGGCCACACTTCCACTTTTTAGAAGGAGGGGATACTCTCATCTCTCTGTCTAGTTTTGTCTCCAGGAATCCACAGTCAGGAACATTCCCCAGCAGGAGGGAAGAGGTAGCACTAGCTCACCTCTCTTTTCATAGAATCCTGCCAGCAACCCCCTTCCCCTTGCCCAGAGGTGGAGCAAGGTGCTTGGATTTCACTGTTACAAGATAGATCTCTTTTTCTGGATTTGTTTTCGTCTAAGACTTGAACCCAGTATATACAATGGGTGCATGTGCTGGTTTTTAATGGATTCAAATACCTACCTTTTTTTTTTTTTTTTTTTTT